ATTTTAAATGTTCATTCTGTCAGACACTGCAACACAAGGGTATTTTGGGGTACAGACCATCAACTTCGCCCTCTACTAAGGAGAACGGCGAGTTTGAGAGGGACCTGCCCTCCCAAAGCAACCTACGTCTCACCTCCTGGCACTATATAAAGGCTCCATCCTGCCCACTTCAACTTCATATTGTTTTCAGACAACGGAACAATGCTCTTCTCCGACTGAGGGACTGACCACCTCAAAACTTTAAGGGTGATGGACTGATTACATCGTCTTCAAGTATCTTCTGCTTCTATCAACTTTTCTGTACTCGACTGAAGAAGCCTACTGTGTAGGCGAAACGTTTCAAAATAAAGATACCTAACTGTTGCATATTTGTCTTACCTAACAATCTGTCGGTATTTTATACCATTTTAATGTTCATTCTGTCAGACACTGCAACAAAAGGGTATCTTGGTACAGACCATCAACTTCGACCTCTACTAGTGAGAAGGGCTGAGTTTGAGAGGGACCTGCCCTCCCAAAGCAACCTACGTCTCACCTCCTGGCACTATATAAAGGCTCCATCCTGTCACTTCAACTTCATATTGTTTCAGACAACGGAACAATGCTCTTTCCCCCAGACTGGAGGCTGACCACCTAAAAAACTTTAAGGGTGATGGACTGATTACATCGTCTTCAAGTATCTTCTGCTTCAAAATCAACTTTTCTGTACTCGACTGAAGAAGCCTACTTGTAGCGAAACGTTTCGAAATAAAGATACCAACTGTTGCAAAATGTGTCTTACCTAACAATCTGTCGGTATTTTATACCATTTTAATGTTCATTCTGTCAGACACTGCAACACAAGGGTATCTTGGTACAGACCATCAACTTCGACCTCTACTAGTGAGAACGGCTGAGTTTGAGAGGGACCTGCCCTCCCAAAGCAACCTACGTCTCACCTCCTGGCACTATATAAAGGCTCCATCCTGTCACTTCAACTTCATATTGTTTCAGACAACGGAACAATGCTCTTCTCCAGACTGAGGGACTGACCACCTCAAAACTTTAAGGGTGATGGACTGATTACATCGTCTTCAAGTATCTTCTGCTTCTATCAACTTTTCTGTACTCGACTGAAGAAGCCTACTGTGTAGGCGAAACGTTTCGAAATAAAGATACCTAACTGTTGCATATGTGTCTTACCTAACAATCTTTATTATGAAACGTTTCGCCTACACAGTAGGCTTCTTCAGTCAACTTTTCTGAACTTGACTGAAGAAGCCTACTGTTAGGCGAAACTTTCATAATAAAGATACCTAACTGTTTGCATATGTGTCTTACCTAACAACATTCACATTGTTAGTAAGAACAATATGCAACAGTTAGGTATCTTTATTATGATACTTTCGCCTACACAGTAGGCTTGCTTCATCAAGTACAGAAAAGTTGGGTAGAAGCAGAAGATACTTGAAAACGATGTTCATCAGTCCCAATCACCCTTAAAGTTTTGAAAGGGGTCAGTCCCTCAGTCTGGAGAAGAGCATTGTTTCCATAGTATGAACCAATATGGAATGAAGGACAGAATGGAGCTTTTATAGCGCCAGAGGAGACGTAGGCCACTCAGGAGAGGTAAGACTCAGATGTTAAAGGTCAGGTCCTTCTCTCAATCCCGCCGCTCTCCACTGGTGGAAGTTGTCGAAGTTGATTGCAGGTCTGTACCAAGATACCCTGTGTGTTGCAGTGTCTGACAGATTGAACATTAAAAAGGTTTTAAAATACCACAGGTTGTTAGGTAAGCACATATGCAACCCGTTAAAGTATCTTTATTATGAAACGTTTCGCCTACACAGTAGGCTTCTTCAGTCAAGTACAGAAAAGTTGATAGAAAAGCATAAGATACTTGAAGACTATGTAATCAGTTCCTATCACCCTTAAAGTTTTGAGGTGGTCAGTCCTCATTAGAAGAGCATTGTTCCATAGTATGAAAACAATATGGAGATGAAGTTGACAGAATGAGCTTTTATAAGCGCATGAGGGAGACGTAGGCCACTAGGAGAGGTAAGAACTCAGATGTTGAAAGGTCAGGTCCTTCTCAAATCCAGCCGCTCTCACTGGTGGAAGTTGTCGAAGTTGATTGCAGGTCTGTACCAAGATACCCTTGTGTTGCAGTGTCTGACAGATTGAACATTAAAATGGTATAAAATACCGACAGGTTGTTAGGTAAGACACATATGCAACAGTTAGGTATCTTTATTATGAAACGTTTCGCCTACACAGTAGGCTTCTTCAGTCAACAACCTGTCGGTATTTTATACCATTTTAATGTTCAATCTGTCAGACACTGCAACACAAGGGTATCTTGGTACAGACCTGCAATCAACTTCGACAACTTCCACCAGTGAGAGCGGCTGGATTTGAGAAGGACCTGACCTTTCAACATCTGAGTTCTTACCTCTCCTAGTGGCCTACGTCTCACCTCATGGCGCTATAAAAGCTCCATTCTGTCACTTCATCTCCATATTGTTTCATACTATGGAACAATGCTCTTCTCCAGACTGAGGGACTGACCACCTCAAACTTTAAGGGTGATGGACTGATTACATCGTCTTCAAGTATCTTCTGCTTCTATCAACTTTTCTGTACTTGACTGAAGAAGCCTACTGTGTAGGCGAAACGTTTCATAATAAAGATACCTAACTGTTGCATATGTGTCTTACCTAACAACCTGTCGGTATTTTATACCATTTTAATGTTCAATCTGTCAGACACTGCAACACAAGGGTATCTTGGTACAGACCTGCAATCAACTTCGACAACTTCCACCAGTGAGAGGGCGGTGATTTGAGAAGGACCTGACCTTTCAACATCTGAGTTCTTACCTCTCCTAGTGGCCTACGTCTCACCTCATGGCGCTATAAAAGCTCCATTCTGTCACTTCATCTCCATATTGTTTCATACATGGAACAATGCTCTTCTCCAGACTGAGGGATGACACCTCAAAACTTTAAGGGTGATGGACTGATTACATCGTCTTCAAGTATCTTCTGCTTCTATCAATTTTCTGTACTTGACTGAAGAAGCCTACTGTGTAGCGAAACGTTTCATAATAAAGATACCTAACTGTTGCATATGTGTCTTACTAACAACCTGTCGGTATTTTATACCATTTTAATGTTCAATCTGTCAGACACTGCCAACACAAGGGTATCTTGGTACAGACCTGCAATCAACTTCGACAAACTTCCACCAGTGAGAGCGGCTGGATTTGAGAAGGACCTGACCTTTCAACATCTGAGTTCTTACCTCTCCTAGTGGCCTACGTCTCACCTCATGGCGCTATAAAAGCTCCATTCTGTCACTTCATCTCCATATTGTTTCATACTATGGAACAATGCTCTTCTCCAGACTGAGGGACTGACCACCTCAAAACTTTAAGGGTGATGGACTGATTACATCGTCTTCAAGTATCTTCTGCTTCTATCAACTTTTCTGTACTTGACTGAAGAAGCCTACTGTGTAGGCGAAACGTTTCATAATAAAGATACCTAACTGTTGCATATGTGTCTTACCTAACAACCTGTCGGTATTTTATACCATTTTAATGTTCAACATTCACATTGTGGAAAAAGACACTTATGTACAGTTCAGGACATTTATTAAAGGAAACGTTTCGCCACGAGTGGCTTCTCAGTCCTAATACAGAAAAAAACTAAGAAAACACACATATATATAGTGGCGGGAGTCAGGTGAGGTGATGCGTGGGTAGAGGTGGTAGTAGTAGTAGTAGTAGTAGTAATGGAACTAAGGAGGTGAGGCTAGAGAGGGACCTGCTGGCATCAAGTAACACCAGTTCCCAGGATGGGTAATATCCTCTTGCTTAGTAATTTTGAAATACTGTAACTACCGGATTTTTGCTTTATAGTGTTACTGACAGAAATTAGTGCAGCTTCAATGCATTTTCTCCGTCTTAAGTCGTCTTCTTTAATAACTAGTTTAGCTTCATTGAATTTCATGAGGTGTCCAACATCGTCTCTATGTTGAACACATGCGTTTTTGCGGTCATCATTTCTGCAAGCATTTTTGTGTTCTGCTATCCTAATGTCCAGAGTTCTGGCTGTTTCCCCTACATATACCCAACTCTTTTAGTTCACTACACTTTCCCCTACACTTCATACGTGACTGCAGGAAACGTGCAACACGTATCCTCAGCAAGACCAACACCTATCAAATTGAAGAAAAGCCTCCAAGTTACATCGTTTTACCGGTCAGCAACGTTGCCACTAATGTTTCAAAAATGTTTGACAGAAAACTGGCTAAAATATCTACCAGCTCTTCAACTACTATTAGGAACCTGATACAAAAACCCAAGCATGATTCTGGCACAAGTGCAGGAATCTACACTATACCAGTGGGGGTGTGACAAAGTATATGTAGGGAAACAGCCAGAACTCTGGACATTAGGATAGCAGAACACAAAAATGCTTGCAGAAATGATGACCGCAAAAACGCATGTGTTCAACATAGAGACGATGTTGGACACCTCATGAAATTCAATGAAGCTAAACTAGTTATTAAAGAAGACGACTTAAGACGGAGAAAATGCATTGAAGCTGCACAAATTTTCTGTCAGTAACACTATAAAGCAAAAATCCGGTAGTTACAGTATTTCAAAATTACTAAGCAAGAGGATATTACCCATCCTGGGAACTGGTGTTACTTGATGCCAGCAGGTCCCTCTCTAGCCTCACCTCCTTAGTTCCATTACTACTACTACTACTACTACTACTACCACTACCACCTCTACCCACGCTTCACCTCACCTGACTCCCACCACTATATATATGTGTGTTTTCTTAGTTTTCTCTGTATTAGGACTGAAGAAGCCACTCGTGGCGAAACGTTTCCTTTAATAAATGTCCTGAACTGTACATAAGTGTCTTTTTCCACATCTTGTCGGTATCACCATACCATTTCCTCAACATTCACATTACAATCTAAACTCACAAGGATATCAAAACCAAATTATACCTACTAAAAGCAAATTTATTATTGAAAAATCTAAAGCATATATGTAGAACAAGGAAGGCAGTTAATGGAAGTGAAGTTATTAATGGAGATAGAATAAAGACATCTAACAGCAACTGAGATTGATAGAATAATTGAAAGATTCCTGATTGAGAATTGCGTGTCACTACCGAATCATATCAATATTTTCTTTATTATGGTTGTAATATAAGTTCAGGCTGTTGTTGATTTTTACTAATTACATTTTTAGATAATTACTCATTCTTTATTCTAATTAACTTTATTGATTCCTTATTTTTATGTTAATTCTGTCCTGCCACCTTCATTACTTGAATATTTTCATTATTCATATTTAATATGTCTCAGTTCTTGTTCATAATCTAAATTTGTTGGTATGTGTTGAGATAATTGATGACGTGAGACAACAGGTGGTGGGCAGGTGGGACGTTGACAGGTGGTGGGCAGGTGGGACGTTGACAGGTGGTGGGCAGGTGAATCCTCAACATGTGGTAGGTCAAAAGCTGGTGGGCAGTTGGATCCTCAACTGATGGTAGGTCGTCAAAAGGTGGCAGGCTGGTGGATCTTGAACAGGTGGTAGGTCGTCAGCAGGTGGTGGATAGTCTACAGGTGGTGGGTAGTCAAGAAGTGTACCAACGTGAGGGTACAGATGGTACACTCTGCCTACTGGATGTGTAACAAGTAGTAAGCTGGTGGGAGATAAAATTTGCATAAGACAGTCTTCTGAGAGGAGTGCAGAGAATTTGTGCAAATTTAAGAAGCAATTGAACACACACACACACACACTAGTAACTACTACTACAACTACTACAACTACTACTACTACTACTATTACTATTACTACTACTACTACTACTAAACATACACACAAAGTAAGTCAAGCTAAGACTTGATCTCTTCAGCCACAAACAAGCAACACCAGCTTATCACCAGAAGGTCGTCAGGTTTGGAACCTGAAAGTCTGCTTCACCTTATTGCATGAGTGGGAGGGGTTGGATTTGGGTGGGACTTGCAGGTGGATGGGTAGAGTTATCAGAACTTATTTCTTGGGTTGCACTGAAAATTAGGTTGGGCAAATGTTTTGTTAGTGGGATGGATTGTGAAGGACCTGCCTAGTATGGGCCAACAGGCCTGCTGCAGTGCTCCTCCTTTCTTATGTTCTTATGTTCTTATTGAATCTGTGTTCCGGTTCCCTGAATTGACCTGAGTACCTTCCATCCCCCTCCCCAGGCGCTGTATAACCCTACGGATTTAGCGCTCCCCCATGTTTATAATATAATAATATTTCATCTTCCTGTTGGTGATGGGACTCGAACTCTCATTAAAAGTGTTACACTATTTCGTCAGAAAAATGAACGTTTTTGTTTGATCACCATAAACAGCATTGTTAATTCTGAGAATATGGATATAAGGTCATCCTCAACTCTACGGCCGTAGAAAAAAAGAACTTGCAAAGCAATCTGGAAAAACTATTTTGAGTTGTGAGAAGATTGTAATCTGTCCCATCACTGCCAGTGATGCCCATCACTGGCAGTGTCCCATCACTGGCAGTGTCCCATCACTGGCAGTGTCCCATCACTGGCAGTGTCCCATCACTGGCAGTGTCCCATCACTGGCAGTGTCCCGGTGTCCACCTGTCAATAAATAATCAAAATAATGGAGGGAGGTTGGAACCATGGTGCATGGAATTAACAGAACCAGCGTTGTAACCACGCAACTACAAGGTTGCTGATACAAAAAGCGTCGTAACCAAGCAACTACGAGGTTGCTGGTACAACCAGGGTTGTAACCACGCAACTACGAGGTTGCTGATAGAACCATGTCAATTAGGCTCTCTTAAAAATTATCCTTCAAGAACCGGCGTGGCTACATGGTTAATTTCTTGACCTTCTCTGACCTCAGTTCGAGTCTCCAATTTTTCTTCAATTTATTCAGTCACATTCATTACTGTCTTGAGATTAGGAACTTAATGGCTTTGAGGGGAATAATAACAGATTTTTTATACCATCTGGAGCTGTGACAGGAGTCATTAGGTCACAGGTGGTGGCCTCTGATTCATCTGTCACTACTGACTGTAAGAATCATACAGCGTATCAATTCTTCGGCCGTTCTTCTGTTTATACATCTACGGTTAATAATTACGAATGCTGCTCTTTTAGCTGTTACCGTTTCTTTTTCAGCAGTTTTTTGCTACCATCACAAGAGTTACTGCTCTTACTATTATAGCTTTTACAGCTGCTATTGCAGCAGCTACTGATATTATTACAACACTGTTCCTATTGCAGTAGCAATTGCTACAATAGCAGCAATTTTCACTGTTTATCGTGCTAACTCTTCGCATAATGATATTTATCGTCATAAATTTTCAATAAATCAATAGTATTTACCTAACCACTTTGGACGGGACGGGTACTGTTTCTTCTAGACGGACGGGAATCATTGTCAGGACGGGTACCGTTGAACGGACCAGCACCATCGTCAGGACGGGTACCGTTGAATGGACCAGCACCATCGTCAGGACGGGTACCGTTGAACGGACCAGCACCATCGTCAGGACGGGTACCGTTCCAACCAGACGGAGGGAACCCAGAACCAGGGCCGGTACTATTTCCCCCTCCCTGAGGACCAGAAGGCTTCGGGCGACCACTGTTTCCCCTTGATGAGGAAGACGACCCCCCTGACTGCCTCTGGGGATGAGCAACGACCAGCAGTACAGCAGCTGCCATGAGCACTATCACAACTGCTTTCTTCATGATGATGGGGAAGTCTGGCAACGACTCTCTGTTGGAAACACAAAGATGTTGGTTTTATTTAAGGTAAATAATGGAGAGAAAGAAGAGATTTGAGATCATTTATCCTCAGGATGACTCGAGTCTGGAACACATTCGTACAGCATTATGATGTCAACGAGATAAAGTCAGTTGATCAAATGAAACTGCTGGCCCACAGATGGCCCTCAGATGGCCCACAGATGGCTCCAACTTCATCTTGTTCCCTACTTGTATGTCTTATAATAAAAATGTTTTTAAATGAGCTGATGTAGGTAACAGCTCTTAGCTTGTCAATAAAGCTAGGGATCCTTAACTAAACCTTGTCAAACCCTGTGTAAAAAAAAAAATACAGTATTGTTAAATTAGACACATGTGCAACTCTTGGGTATCTTTATTGAGGAAACGTTTCGCCACACAGTGGCTTCATCAGCCACTGTGTGGCGAAACGGTGGTACAACAGCTGGGACAGAACCCATGACAGGTGGCACAACAGCTGGGACAGAACCCATGGCAGATGGCACAACATCAAAATCGACAACCCAAATCAGCATGGTTTTAGAGCAGGACGATCATGCCTGTCACAGCTGCTGAACCATTATGACAGAGAGTAAGACACAAGTGCAACATCTGGGTATCTTTATTGTAGACGTTTCGCCATCCAGTGGCTTTATCAATACAAATTCTAGGACATAACTTGAAGACAGTTGAACTATGTACAGAAGATGAGGTAATCAGTCCCTCAACCTAGGAGTAGGTGCGAACAGCACCATAGTCGTGGAGATTCTGAAGCAGAAGAAAGAATCCTGGCGCTTATATAGTAACGTCAGGTGTAGCAGACGAGGGCATATTCACTGGTAGGCGGGATTCCCCAGTGGAAGTAGGTCCTTCCCAAAGAGATGGGTTAGTAGTAGAAGTAGTTGTCGTAGTCGTGAAGGTTATGTACATGTCCTCAGAATTAAGATTCCAAGATGTTGCAGTGTCTGACAAGTTGTGTACGAAATGGTATATAATACCGACAAGATGAATATGCCCTCGTCTGCTACACCTGACGTTACTATATAAGCGCCAGGATTCTTTCTTCTGCTTCAGAATCTCCACGACTATGGTGCTGTTCGCACCTACTCCTAGGTTGAGGGACTGATTACCTCATCTTCTGTACATAGTTCAACTGTCTTCAAGTTGTGTCCTAGAATTTGTATTGATAAAGCCACTGGATGGCGAAACGTCTACAATAAAGATACCCAGATGTTGCACTTGTGTCTTACTCTCATCTTGTCGGTATTATATACCATTTCGTACACAACTTGTCAGACACTGCAACATCTTGGAATCTTAATTCTGAGGACATGTACATAACCTTCACGACTACGACAACTACTTCTACTACTAACCCATCTCTTTGGGAAGGACCTACTTCCACTGGGGAATCCCGCCTACCAGTGAATATGCCCTCGTCTGTAACCTACTTTACTATATAAGCGCCAGGATTCTTTCTTCTGCTTCAAACCCCACGATATGGTGCTTTTTCGCACCTATCCTGGGTTTTAGGGACTGATTACTTCTCTTCTGTACATAGTTTCAACTGTTTTAAAGTTATGCCCTAAAAATTTGTATTGATAAACCCAAGGATGGCGAAACTTTCACAAAAAAGATCCCAGTGTTGACTTTGTTTACTCTCATCTTGTCGGTATTATATACCATTTCGTAACATTTGACAGAATTACAGAGGCTTTTGAAGACGAAAAATGTGATATACACAATTTTCAAAGGCGTTTGATTAAAGCGTCTTTGGGTGTTACACATAAAATGAGGGCGATAGGCTTTACAGGGAGGTAGGCAGATAAATTTGGGTTGCTAACACAAGAACAAAAAAAAGTAGTATTAAATAGAGCAAAATCCACAAGGGGAGGTAAAAACTCAGCCCCCAAATGCACTTTTCTTGGCACCTCTGCTGTTTCTCACTTAAAGCAGACATGAACGCCCGTCCGGTGGGTATAGGTAGTGTTTTCCGTGGTCAGTGGAGAACAACATGACGTTCAGTTGATAAGTTCCAGCTGCTGGGTATGGAAAGAATGAAGAACTAAAAAGGAACATGTATACAAATAAAGGGACCAAAAAAACAGAAGGAAAGGAAACACAAAGAGCCTGGGAAAACTAGCTAACGTTTTTTAAAAAGACTTAACAAGACAAAGGTTACGCACCCAAAGGAGACGGGGTAGTTTTGAGAACCTTCAAAAAAAAGGAAATTAGTGCCCCCTTATTTGGAATATTACTAAATGCGACGGCCCCATTCGGGCAGGGAAATTTTGGAGATGAACAAAACAAAATTGTTTAGGCCCCGCATAAGCCAAATGATCTTTTAAATTTACTGGGAACGCCTTTAAAGTCTTAAATTTGTCTAGTGGAGCAGAGGAGGAAAATATAATGATATATATTTGGGAAAGGGGTTTTGAGGCCCGGCCCCAAATCTGCACGCTGCCATAACATCATATTAGGGGGAGAGAAAATGGGAGAAGGGGAGATAAATCTAGTGAAAAGTTGGGGGGTGCAGTGAGTACAAAAAGGGAACACTCATCAACATTCTTGGTTTTAGATTATTTAGCATCTTCCCGAAATACCAGAACACTGCTGGACAATGTGAAGTTTTTAAAAAGGGAAAACTGGACAAGAATCTTCAAAATGCAGATAAGGGGCTGTGTTGATATGTGAGGCAGTGGCCCCAGAGCAGCAGCACCCGGTTGACCAGCAAGCCCAGACGACCTGGCCCAGGGGCCCGGGTAAGGAGTAAGAACTCTCGACCCTCATAAAGCTAGGAAACAAATGGAGTCAAATACTCTACATGGGCCCAAAAAATTCTTCCCATTCGGGTCAAACAAAGAAAATGATACCACAAACAATAGTTTAACAAAACCCGTTTAATCATGTGTTGTAATTTGACAAAAATGGCCCTGGACAGACTGAAAGTGTTTTTACTTCTGTTTAAAGTTTGAGGCTGATGTACATTGTGGATGTTTCGTGAAAAAAATACCCAAGGTTCAGCAGCGTACAAAAGTGGAGCTTCTCTGGATGGTAACCCCTTCTGCGGCGGTCTTGCGACAGACTTATTACCCCTTTCTCTCTTGCCACGTCATTACCTGCTGTCTCTACAGAACGGCCTCACCATTTTTCTAAGGATCTATATTACATGGAATCACGCGATGGCCTTCACGAACGAAGGGTAAAAGAGATGGTAAAACACTCGTAATATTATAAATGACCCCTTCATAGGATAATGGAATTTTTTGCGACGTTTCGTTCGCCTTGGGGGCCAAGTTGGACCAAAAAAGTCGTAAACTTCACCCCATGTGAGAGTTTTCTTTGTATGTTCCGTCCGGGATTACAGGTTTTATTTTAATGGTAATGTTGGGCGAATGTTAAATGGTAATTAACCCGTCCAAATTCTACGGTCATGCTTCTCGACTGGCTTTTCATTTTAATTTGGAGGTCGAGGGGAAATCAACTGGTGACAGTGAGGACAGGAGGCCTAGGGGGTAACCCGGAGTTTACCCCGGAGAGAGTTTCGGGGGTCAACGCCCCGCGGCCCCGGTCTGTGACCAGGCCCTTTTGGTGGATCAGGCCGATCAAAACAGGGTGTTGCGCTGGCCACGCAAACCAACGTACGAGCCCCAGCCCCGGTGATCAGGAAATGAATTTAGGGGTTTCCCGTGCCAGCTTGAAGACTGCCAGGGGTCTGTTGGTAACCCCCTTATGTGTCTGGGAAAGGGAGTTGAACAGTCTCGGGCCCCTGAACTTATTGTATGGTCTTTAAATGTAGTGACACCCCGCTTTTTTGGGGGGGATGGTGATCTTGCCAGTCTTTGCTTTCGTAGTGAGTGATTTTCGTTGCAAATTCGGTACTAGTTTGATTTTCCCGGGGTATATAATCATGTATCTCTCCCCCCTTTCGTTCCAGGGAATACGGTTTAGAAACCTCAAGCACTCCCAGTAATTGAGGTGTTTTATCTCCGTTATGCGCGCCGTGAAAGTTCCTGTACATTTTCTAGGTCGGCAAATTTCACCTGCCTTGAAAGGTGCTGTTAGAGTGCAGCAATATTCCAGCCTAGATAGAACAAGTGACCTGAAGAGTGTCATCATGGGCTTGGCCTCCCTAGTTTTGAAGGTTCTCATTATCCATCCTGTCATTTTTCTAGCAGATGCGATTGATACAATGTTATGGTCCTTGAAGGTGAGATCCTCCGACATAATCACTCCCAGGTCTTTGACGTTGGTGTTTCGCTCTATTTTTGTGGCCAGAATTTGTTTTGTACTCTGATGAAGATTTAATTTCCTCATGTTTACCATATCTGAGTAATTGAAATTTCTCATCGTTGAACTTCATATTGTTTTCTGCAGCCCACTGAAAGATTTGGTTGATGTCCGCCTGGAGCCTTGCAGTGTCTGCAATGGAAGGACACTGTCATGCAGATTCGGGTGTCATCTGCAAAGGAAGACACGGTGCTGTGGCTGACATCCTTGTCTATGTCGGATATGAGGATGAGGAACAAGATGGGAGCTAGTACTGTGCCTTGTGGAACAGAGCTTTTCACCGTAGCTGCCTCGGACTTTACTCTGTTGACGACTACTCTCTGTGTTCTGTTAATGAGGAAATTATAGATCCATCGACCGACTTTTCCTGTTATTCCTTTAGCGCGCATTTTGTGCGCTATTACGCCATGGTCCACTTGTCGAAGGCTTTTGCAAAGTCTGTATATATTACATCTGCATTCTTTTTGTCTTCTAGTGCATTTAGGACCTTGTCGTAGTGATCCAGTAGTTGAGACAGACAGGAGCGACCTGTTCTAAACCCATGTTGCCCTGGGTTGTGTAACTGATGGGTTTCTAGATGGGTGGTGATCTTGCTTCTTAGGACCCTTTCAAAGATTTTTATGATATGGGGATGTTAGTGCTATTGGTCTGTAGTTCTTTGCTGTTGCTTTACTGCCCCCTTTGTGGAGTGGGGCTATGTCTGTTGTTTTTAGTAACTGAG